AATAATCATTAAAATAAGCCTGGAGGTCATCTGTAAGTATCTCTACGCCTGAAAAAGACAAAATCCGGTCATATGCAGTCTCACGCACCACCACGCGCGGCTCACGCGCTCTCCACGCTCCTCACGCGCTTAGACGCGCTTGGGAAAGATTGTGGCGCGTGGCACGCGCTGCCACGCGCCAAGTGGCGTTGATTTGGCTTGTCCGGCGCGTGTTCCTCACGCGCCGGAATGGTCGACTTTTCTGGCGCGTGGAACCCACGCGCCAGATTCCATTCTTCACCTACCACTTCTGGCACGTGTTCCTCACGCGCCAAATTCATTATTGGTGCGCTGCACCAGATCCCAGCCTCCTCCAGTAGTTCTTCTCCCCGCCGGTGATGCTCCGGCCACCGGAAAAACGCCGAAAAATCCAGAAAAATTAATAAAAATTTCCAGAAATTAAATTAGGCCTTAAAAAATTCCAGAAAAATTCCGGAAAATTTCTAAAAAATCCCAGAAAATTCCTGAAGCCTAATTTAATCCTCTTGGACCTTCTTGAAGCTTCATAGCACCCTTTGATGAATATTACATGGCTTTAAATAAATTTACAATTTGAAATACAATGGAAAAAATTAAATTACATCATTGAACTTTCAAACGGCTAAATCAAAGCCTTAATTACATTTATCCAAAGATAAAATTACATTCAATTAACCTATAAGCTTCATCCATGGCCCAAACACACATCATCATCCATTCACAATTATACATACATCATCATGTATCAATATATATCAATATATTAATTCATACATCAACATACATTAATAAATAAATATATGCATATCAAAATTGGATCCGTGAATGATGATTTTCATAAAATCATGATCTCTAGTAATGAATCAAACCATGCTCTGATACCACTGTTAGGAAACGTGCTAGTTTTAAAAACTTTTCGAGAAATTTTAATTCATAGATCTTGATTCATTACATAGAGACAAGTTTTATGTAAAAAAAAACATGATGTATCATTCAATTAAAAAATTGAATACTTACATCAAGGTTTGAGTAAACCTTAGATCTCTCCTCTAAAGTGAATGTTCTCACTTATTGTATATCCCTTTTGCTAGACACCTTTTCCATGGATCTCCATCTTTTTGGTAATGGTCTTGCTTTTAGGAATCACTCATAAGCCTCCATGAATGACCTTGAAAAACTAGGCTTGTGGGAGCCTCCATTAGATGAGAACACTAACCCTAATTTACTAGAGAGAGAAAATTTATTCCTTTTTTTCCTTCTCATAAAAATAACATTCCCAAAATATACATAGACCATGTATATTTATAGGCAACAAAAAAATAAAGAAAAGGAAACAACAAATCCTTCTCAATCTCTAATTCACATGTCTCAAATCTAATATGATTCCAATATCAAGTTGGGTTATGAGTGAGAATCCATTGGGCCTATTATTTTATTGGCTACAATGAATTAATAATTGGCCCGGTCCATGGACCCAATTCAATTAATTCATAAATTAATTTCTAATCCACTAAAAGAAATTAATTGAACTCCAATTAAATAATAAATAACCACTAAGTCAATATTTCACTTTGACCCCTCTATGCATAATTAGTTATCGGATAAATAAAGCCATCAATCCGACTACTTAATTAATATATTTATTTTCGTACCATTGATTATTTCTGACTCGATCACAATAAAAACATTTGTTTGACAAAAATAATAATTTAAATAAATAAATATATAATAAATCATTTTGTCTAAAAACATACGAAGGCCTTCGAATTTACTTTGTGATCAACCATAATCAATACAAAATAAATACAAGTAGCAATGATGCAAATATTGAAAATATAACCCTCTAACTATTAATTACATAACAACCCAAAGTGTCGGTCTAAGAATCCCGAAGAATCCGCCGAATAAATTAAAGTAATTATTAATTAATAAAAAAGTCTATAATTTTCTCATACTTAAGAGTCACATGCCATGACGGTGATAGGGCTCCCGCAATATATCTCAACCTAACGTGGATCCAGTTCAAGTCTTAATTAATTATGAGTCCATCCATAATTACCGACTATGAACCATTTATGATTACTATTTATATTCATGTATTGATTGCCATCACATACATATATAAATATCTCTTGTAATCAAGTGGACACTATCAATTCTATAATGAATCGAAACATAATACATTGAATTCACCAATTGTATAAAAACATAAATATTTCAGAAACATCGTGAACTTATGTCACTTTAATCCAAATAGAAATTTGCTATGTCAGGGCATATAAATCCCAACACATGAGCCATACAACACGCCTCTGCGACGTCCCAAGTAGTCGGAGACGTTTAATGACGAGAAATCAAGTTTAACTTTCAGAAATATTCAGAGACATATTATTATCAAAGGAGATCAAAGAGAAGGTGTATTCTTCATCGTCATAGTTGAAGTGCATGGGCCCCACGACTAGTTGACCAAATGAGCTGCTGCTGCGAGTGTAATCGAACTTTGAGATGAAACTAGGGTAACTAGGGTTTGTGATCAGAGTGTTCCATGATTTGGAGACACACTTGAATCTCATGAGAGATTTCGCAGGCAATCTTGATAGAATCTTAATCAACACATCATCAGGTAGCAAACCTATTATTTTTCTTTTTCTTCTTATACTTGCTCTATTGTTCTTTTTTTTACGTTTTCCGTGCTTTTTTTCTTCTTCACAATTTGGATTCGCTTGCAACAATGATGTTTGTTCTTCTTCGACATTGCAAGGCAAAACAGGAGAAGCAGGAGGAGGAGGAGGAGGAGACCACCATGATGAACAGAAGAAGAAGAGCAAGAAACGGGCAATAAGAGTAGTGGTTGAAAGCAATAGCAAAAAATGAGACACCATGGCACGTACGTGTTTTGAAGATAAAACTAAACCTATAATATAAATAATGGTCCTCTCATTCAAGGACCGTGAAATTTGCTACATGAATGAGAATTTTATAAGGATAGTAGCAAATTGAGGGAGTCAAGTCCAATACAAATTGTGATTAGATGAATAGTAGCAATCTATATTGACTTTTAATTCAAGTGTAATTCAACTAGAATTCTTCATGTGAGTTAGCTACGGATGGTATAATCAAAATTGAAATTTTAATTAATCTCTGATTATTTCTTATTTGGATTACTTTTATATAATATGAAAATTTATAACATAACTCCTCTTTTGATACTACTTTATCGAATTTTGGAAAAATAAAGGGCAAATCCAGGGCTCCACCATTGCGAATTGAGGGAAAATGAATTTCAATAAAATAAAATGAAATAAAATAAAAAATTTGATCACTGATTATAAATATGTGTAATATAAATTTTACTAAAATATATTTTAAATATTAAAGTTGATTTAGAGTTAAGTTTTGTCCATTCATTGTTAACTAATGAAATTGAGTAATGGAATTCAGAATTATATACCAATTGCCACATATTAAAGTTAGTTGGTCTTTCTTAATGATCCACCTTCACAAATAATACTTTCTGCGAGATATACATACATTGTTGTTTAATTGTAACTTGGGCGGCCCAACCGAAATCAGTCAAGCCCACTCTGAAAGAGTTTGGGCAAATAGTTTTACAATTTGATCGGGTTCGAGTTGAAAAAAAGTGAAGGCTTCAAATTATTTCAATTGTATAAAAGTGAAGGTGTTTTTATCTTTGTCTTTAGGGTAATTAACGTGCATATTCATAAAGTCAATGTGGCATAGGATGTTTATAAATGTAAACGTGACAATCCAATTCTAATAATTCGACTTACAAACCTGAATTTAATTGGAGCAAACTTAACTCACATATGGGTTGCAATTAATTTGGTTGGCTCGAGTCAAGGTATAATTAGAGGTAATTTAGAGTTCAACATTTATAAAACGGATTGAGTCTAAATTGTTATGCCTAAATGCCTAATCCATGCATCTCTACGTGACTAAAATATTATTATATTTTGAATTAAATCCAATCCAATTAGTATTCTTCCTCTTAGTTAGCACTCAAATCGTTGAATCAGGTTAAGTCCCGTGATAAAATCCAAACTGAAAAATTAATTGATTTCGAAAGAGAATTGAATTGGACATATAGAAAAAATTACTCCCTTCAACTTATTTTACTTGTCCATTTTTAGAAATTTAAATATATTTTTATTGTATTGATTGTAAATAAATGATCAAATGTACTGGTGTTAGGTCCACTGTAATGACTTACTTTTTATAAGAACAAAAACAAGATATCAATTATTACCTGCTATTCATGCTCTTTCTTTTCTTTTTTTTCTTTTTATTTATTTAGTTAATTAGAAAGGAAGGTAAATTCGAATAGGGACCGAAAAGTTAGACACTCCACTAAATCACTAAATAATGCTCAAAATTCGTGACATTTGACCATCCTCTTAATTCAATAATTCCATGAAACTTTCATCATTGGAATACCCATTTATAGGACGCACCCATATATCAAATACTATTTATCAATATATATATCTATATATTAATTATGGTAAGTACTTTACCAAATCAAGTTTGTTACAGGTCTTCCCATCAATCATGTGAGTGGGTGCAAGTACACTATAAGAGTCAACCTAATGTGGCTCTGAGCCTCGCGAAGATGACCGTCAATTGAGCTCAAATCCACGTATTCTTCAAACCATTTTTTTCTTATTCGGAATTTAATAATATTCTTCAAACCATTGCTTTGTTTCTTGCACGCTTGTGTAAATGTATACTTGCACAAATAGATCTGAGACACGCTCTTATAAGAAATTAATAAATATAGGGCATGCTAACTTGAGCACGAGGCGCGACGACCCCTAGCCACATCTCAATAAACTCACGATTCTCAACTCACGTGGGTTTGCCTTTCCGCTCACCATGTGCACGTTAGCATGGATACCTAAAGATTTCCACACGCATAAAATTTTCCCACGTGCGTGGACCACCTATAAATGCAAAGAGACCACCATTTCACAGCTTCAGGAGAGAGAAATCAGTAAAGCTAGCAGAAGCTGGACGTCTCTCTCTTCACCGAGGTTCACTTCCATCCCCTCCTTATATATATATATATATATATATATATATATATACACATCACACTTTTAAGAATCGAAATCAAGGGCTCGATATAGTTGGATTCAAATCTTTACCAAACAGAAGTGGAGCTCTTCAAGAATCCCCTGATTCCACTGTTTTCTGTTACTATCCGACTATTTTCCTCCATTTTCCGGGAAAGTTACAGAGAATGAAGTGGAGCTCTTCACAGATGCTGGTCCTCTCATGCGTAATGTCTTTTTGATTGACTCTCGATCTTCGTTAAAGCTAGTGGTATTGTTTCATTTCTTAGCAATATTTATATTGATAAATTTCTTCTCAATTCGTCGATTTTTCTAAGCATATATACTAATTGAGACTGGTTTGAGATCCTGGGAGAGATATGGCTGGTTTTTCAAGCACTAGAGTTGCACATTTTGTGAATTTGCAAAAGGCAATTTTTTCAAGTGAGGTTCGGAGTCAGAAATTGATGATTGTAAAGCTTGAAGTTATGGATAATGTGAGAAAAAGTAGACATTTTTCATGTAACAAGAAGAAACAGAGTCTTGTGGTCATGAACATGTCGAATCCAGAGGTTGAGCCGCAATCTGCTGTTGTTGTTACCACGGTGTCGGAAGAAGCTGGTGCTACTTCTGTAGGAAAGGATGCTAGGGTTTTGGAAACTAAATATGTATCAAAAGGTGATAGTCAAAGTGGTGGTGGGACATTCAATGGTAATGGTGGTAATGGAAAATTTCTAGGTGGTGGTGGTGGTGGTGGAGGTGGTGGTGATGAAGGTGATGACGGGGAAGAAGACGAGTTTGGGCCAATAATGAAGTTTGAGGAGGTGATTAGAGAGACAGAGGCTCGAGGGGCGAGTCTTCCTTCTGATATGTTAGAGGCAGCCAAGAGTGTGGGAATCCGAAAATTGCTGCTTCTGAGATATTTGGATTTGCAGGTATATTTTTTACCAATGTTCAATCAGTGAACAATGTTAGGTAATTAATTTGTGCAAGACTTGCAAATTTTTTTTTTGGTTACTAGTATGATAACCGGTGTTACTGAATTTCTGATTGCAGGGGTCGGCGTGGCCTCTTGGTTTTGCAATGAGGTCATGCTCTATGCTTCGGAACCGGATGTTGGCTGATCCATCTTTTCTTTTCAAAGTTGGAACGGAGGTTAGTTAAGATTGTTTCTTACTATCATTGTGTAAACACTTAAATCTACAAACAATTAGATACAGTTGCTTGATATTCTAGTCCTATATGAGTAATGACTGCGATCAACTTATGTGTACCAGTGATAATTTATGTAGCATGTTAGTCCACTTTGTGTTTAGCTAACCCAGTTTTGTTCTTATTCCAATAAAATTTCAAGGAAATTAGGTTTGTAAAACTTGAATGACTGAAATTTTATGAGTTGCACTAGACTTATAGAATGCCTAGTGGGGCTTGTTGTTGCCTCTTTGTTCCGTGTTCCTTTGGTGTGTCAATAAAATGCTTGTTTAGGGGAAAAAATGTTATTTGTTAAAATCCAGGGTGTATTGTTTGAAAGTGATTCTGATGTTTTTTGTGCTTGGCATTCATATTTTTTTTATTTTCTTGATGCAGATAGTTATTGATTCTTGCTGTGCAACATTTGCGGAAGTTCAAAAGAGGGGCAAAGACTTCTGGGCTGAATTTGAGTTGTATGCTGCAGATCTTTTGGTTGGGGTGGTTGTTAATGTTGCATTAGTTGGTATGTTAGCACCCTATGCTCGTATCGGACAACTATCTGCCTCTAAAGGGTTCCTTGGGCGTTTGCAACATGCTTATGGTGCTCTTCCTAGCAGGTTGTTAGATCATGCTAGAACATCACATAAGACTTCTCCTGATATATAATTTGAATGAATGTTTTCAACTTTCTTGGATCCTAATATACTGTAATGTGCTTATCCTTACATGAGGTCTACATTTATTGTTGTTTCTTTTTATCTCATTTGCAGTTACATATTATAATCTATCCAGTTTTTGAAATGTTAATCTGATGCAGCGTATTTGAAGCTGAAAGGCCAGGATGCAGATTTACCATAAATCAGAGGGTTGCAACTTATTTTTACAAGGTAAGGTATTTGCATACATCTGTGTAAAACATTCAGATCATATCTTAGAAAAGAAATGTTAGATGTGCTCGCACATTTTCAATTTCTCATGCAGGCATTTGGTTTTTCCATTATCCTTTTGCTGAAATACATTCTTTGGTCACTTAACATTTTTTTGGCTACACAGAACGATATGTATATATAACAGGATTCTAGCGTTGGATTGTTTTTGTATATTTCCTTATGTGACCTATATCTCATTTCCTGTTATTTTCAGGGTCTTCTGTATGGATTAGTTGGGTTCGGATGTGGTCTTATTGGTCAAGGCATTGCAAATTTAATAATGACTGCCAAGCGGTATGATTCTATTTAGACACAATAATGTATGCATTCATGCACAGTATATATGTACTATGTGCTTGTTGTCACATCTTTTTATGGTTTTCTTCATCCCTGAACTATCAGCTCATAAATGAAATTGATACTTGAGAAAATTTGCTTAGTTTTTTTTTCCCCTATAATTCATAAATTATCAGCATTTTTTTCTTATACATGTCAATTGTTCTTCTAGAGATTTGTGTAAATCCCTGAGAAACTGGTTTCAATGCAATGAAGCAGTTGTTACTATAAATTTGTGTTTTGCGGTTAATTTCACAGTTCTTCATTACAGATTGGTTTGCTTGCATTTTCTGTCCCCAATATCTATTTGCCAAAAAGCTTTTGACACCTAATTTTCAAGGTACTCTGATTGATTTGATGCTAAGTCACAAGGACAGCACTCTACGCCTGTTTGTAAAGATAGAACCTGGTTTTTGTCTGGGTTAGACCAGATTGGCAACTAGTGGGGGTGAGAAAATCAACAAAAATTATGTGTGGTGGGATAAAATGTATAGGATAATCATGCAACCAGATCCTTCAAATTGGCTTGCTTTTCAAACATAGGAGCCAGCAAAACTAGTAAATTGTTAATCCATGTCTTTTTCGACCTATCTTTTTGAAAATGAACTTCCCTCTTCTATTATAACATCTCTTCTCGCTGCGTATTGTCTTGGCTTATTATGCTCAGTACTCTGTCCTTGAACTAGTATAAAGTTTTCCTATCTCTTTCCTCACCTGTTACTTAAATTAAACTGTTAGGGCTTCATTGATTATTCTAGAATGTATGCTTTAACACTGCCTCCTAGTTTTTTATGTTAGATTTTTATCTTTCTTGATTCATATTATCATTTTGCAGAAGTATCATAGGGCAATTTCTTTTTTAGTTTTTGTGAATCATCCTGCAGACATGGAATGAATGTAACTTGCTAGGGTTTGGAACAGTGAATTATTTACAGACATCCAGTAAAAAGAAGTGAGCTGAGGATTACTGCACCAAATTTAAGAAAATTAATACAACTTATGCTATGTTCCTTCAACAGCCTAATGTCAAGTCATACTAACCGATTCACACTCTAGCTGCAACTGTTTTCCCTTGTGTTATGTGTGGGCAGTGTAATCAGGAGCTGCAGATTCAATGGGATTTTATGTACGGTATTTGAAATTCTTACACGCGCCACAATTTATGGACTATGCAATTTAATTATGTTCTCTTGCCATGACCATGAAAATGTGATTTATGGACTCTTTGGACTGTGTATGACATGTTTTGTAGTCCTAGAGATTACTTATATTAATAGAAAATATACTGTTATCTTCTATAATATATGAAAAAAGAATGTTTGTGGAATAAGCTGCTCTTCTTTTTATTTTGAGTAATACGGAAAGCATCAGCATCATTAATGTGTTTATCCTTGTGGTGTGTATCATTTCTCATTATATTTCTTTTCTACATATTAGGAGCATAAAGAAATCAGAAGAGGACATACCTGTTCCACCTCTTGTGAAGAGTGCAGCTCTTTGGGGTAAGCCTCCGTTGTTAATGAAATTGCTTTTGGTTGAGCAACTTCTTGTCCTCTGTGCTCTTGCAATAAATTTTGGAATTAGGGGATTGATGGGACATTATCCATTAAACCAATTCGTTGCCAAATAGCATCTGTCGGTTATTCAGTTGTTTCAATACTTTGGGCTCCTGTTTGGTTATATATATGCTATCATTCATGATCTAGAAGTTCAACTCTTGAAAATATTGCCATCTAGTATTTATGGGCGTCTGTATCAGTTGTGGGTGAATACCAGTTTGATTTGATTAATGTCTTTCCCAACTGAATGCTCAGGCAGGCATGTAGGTGGGTGTTCTGTGTACCTGAGAAATACTTTTGAACATATTGGAAAAAAGATCTGTACAAATTGTGTTTTTGTTTGGTAGAGTTGTTTGTTGGGGTTATAAGTCTTTTGCCAGAGGATTGAGGAGAGGTTCATGAAATGTTTGTCATCCAACTAGTCTGCATTGACCTTTGTCCTTAAAGGGCGAGTCTAACTACCAAGCAGTGAATTGAGATATTTTCTACTATATATTTATTTTTCTTTTTAGTGCAGTTGTAGGTGTTATCATTTGACTGTTACTTTTACCTCAGGCATGAAGCATGTATTTACTGTAAAATGCCTCGGTAGTAGGTGTTATAATTACTGTAACTTCTTGATTGGTGACATCTGCTGAACGTTTACATTCATGCTCTGTGTTACCTGTATTTACTGTATATGCGTAGTTCATATGTCTTTTAGTTCAAAGCCTTCAATTTTCACCATAAAGGTTACATTTGAATTAAGTTATTAATTGCAACTGCTCTCCACTTTCCGCTAATTGATATGTTTCTTACCCCAACTTGCAGGAGTTTTCCTTGCAGTTTCTTCCAATACCCGATATCAGGTCGTAAACGGACTGGAACGCCTGGTAGAAGCATCTCCTTTGGCAAAGCAGGTTCCACCCGTAGCAATGGCTTTTACAGTTGGTGTGCGCTTTGCCAACAATATCTATGGTGGGATGCAATTTGTGGACTGGGCGAGGTGGAGTGGTGTGCAATGATTTTGGTGAGGTTTCTCTCTCTTCCGATTGTTCAATTGAAGATGAAACAAATAGTTTTTGGTGAATCATATTCGTAACATTAGCATGATGTGGAGATCTATAACTGTTTCTGCAAAGTTATTAAGGCGACCGGCCGTTTTGCAGTTGTATTTTTAGGGGTGAAATTTCATTTCGCAGACAATAATTCTGGAAAGACAATGACATCAGCTGATATATTAATATTCTAAGCCGAACTTTTACTATTGAGGTTCTCCATTTCATATATCAATGTATCATGAGAAATGGGTGCTTAGATTTTTTCTTGTATTGGCAATATGATATATATATATCACACACATACATATACACACTATTATTCGCCTGTTCCCCATTCCCATCCCTGTTTAGCATAAAAAGATTTTCAACATATCAGACTGGGATCTACGGTGAACACCCTACCCCCATCTGTCCAAAATGGGGCGGGGTGCGGCATGGTGAGGTGGAGTAATTAATTAATTATATTAAGAATCTAACAAAAGTAAATAATGAAATTATTTTTTAACCATGATAATAATTCATTTTTTGTTATGCTACTAAAAACAAAATTTAACTTTTCAATTGAAAGTTGACACTTAATATTGTTATAGCCTGTAAAAATATAAAACATAAAAATTCTCAAATAAAAATGATTTTTTTAATATATAAGAATAAAATTATAATGTATCACTCTATGGTGGGATAAAATTTTCATCATGCGGAATATATGCAATCATAGTAAACAAGGGCTCACATACAAGAGAATAGTTTTGCAATTATTTTGATGAGGTAGAACTGACTAGTCAATAATGAGCATAGACCTACTTTAATGCTGGAAAAGCCCAAATCACGTTGAAAAAGCAGATCTCCTTATCCCTTTTAACAATAGGATCAAAAGTGTCTTTAATCTTAAGACAGGTAAAGCGAATGTCTGTGTCTAACCTAACGTTTGCGACGGGTGCCCCATTTATGCAAAAAGGTGGACTCAAATTATTCACTCAACTAAACCAAATTAAACACCAAAGATATTGAATACAACGAGTTTGGCCACGCAAATGTTTGAGCTGACTATTAGCTACACTCACAAATAAGTTCCTTGTTGGTTGAAATAAAATCTCTCTCTCTCACACACACACACAAGAAGTTGGAATTTAGGTCGTGTATGTTTTTATCATTATACAAATCAATGGTCTCTAGGCCTTAATTCATTTGTGTTTTATTTAAAAATTAAATACAACACTATATCATGTACAAAAATCAATGTACAAGCAAAATGGATCCTTCAGATAGGTGTCTGTGCATACAGTATATATAACATATATATACATTCAGGTAAATTATGTAATTATGTGTTTCTTTTGCTGAAAAGAAAAAACGGTCCAGACGTGAAAATCAAAACAAACTGGAAGAATTTTACTTAAAAGTGCTCAAAACTATATAATAACAAAGAAAAAGAAAACGGAAAGCATGGCAAATACAAGGTCTTGTACTTCCTCAACGAGTGTAATAGGGCTTCCCAAAGAACCTAGTCTAGATTTACAGTGACAAAAAACAAGGAAAAAGTAAAGGATTCCAATTTCGCGACCAAAATGTAAACGTCCTTGCAATAATTTCGATTGTGTACACATCTAGAAAAAGTAGAACACATACGTATATATACCCAAAGAGTGAATTTGGAAAAATTATGACTATACATTCTACCACCAGAGTGGAGCAACCATTTAACTTCATCATGTCTGAAACAGACAGATTGATTTGAGTCCACCAACTGCAGCCCTTCTCATTACGTTATCTAGATTATCTAGAGAAGACAGCCCTAGAAAATGATATCTTCAGCCAACAAAATCATGAAAATGTTGCCCTCCAATAATGTCCCTTCCAAATCGCTGATTCTGTGCTCCAAGATTACCTGTTATATACCGCTCGTTATTTGCATCAAGGCTGAATTGGTGAGCTGCACTAATCGGAGAGTGTTCAGATAAACCAATCCCATTATTCTGATGGAGACCCAGTGTTAAAGAGACACCACTACTTCCACCTGCAGAGCTCAAACCGACACTGACATGTGGATGACGCAACAAATTGTCATAAGATAAATGCATTGGCTCCTCACTCTCCATGGGTGCATCAAGAAATTCAGTTCTGGTGCAGCTAGATGAGAGGTCTTCAGCCCTTTGGATAGAGGTACATGGGTTACCAGACGCACACAGGTTGGCTGTAGGCAAATGATCACTTGGCCTGTCGACAAGTTGTTCTTCCCTTTGCGAAGCTTTTTGATCTTGCCTTGTTTCAAGTGAATGTATTTCTTCCACCATTGGCTTCCAAAGTCTTACTCTTGCGTTTATGAACCAGTTGGAGACCTGGTTTCGACTTGCATTATCAATAAGATCACTCCAATTTGATATAATAAAAACATAAAAATATATTTTAAAATAAAAGCAAATATTGATGTTACTGAAATACTATAAGAAGTGAGTGCCCATGTAAACAATTGTGCAGTGTTGGTGGATTGGGTGCATTTTACTTGAAGTTATTTTGGCTGCAAATTAACCCTAACAATGATGATGCCTGCAAATAAACAGTGGTTCACCTGACTACGTGAGAGACCAGTCTGTTTAGCTAACATTAGCTTGTCCGTGTCCGTAGGGTAGCTGAAACATTAGACAGTAACAATTATGCTAATGTATTCAGACATATCCATGATTTTTCTCGATAAAGATGATACTAGAAAAAAAAATTGAGAGTATATTACTTCAGGAAGTATGATAAAAAAGAATGTCAAAGATTTGTCTATTGATTAAGCAAATAATTTCACTTACGGGTGCAGGAAGTGTTCAAACAACCATGCCCTGAGCACACTGACAGCACGCTCAGGAAGTCCTCTTTGGGGCCGCCAAACAGGTTGCTGTTCAAGAGATCCCAAGTTATGAACTGTTCTTGGGCTATAAAGACCTATATTGGAGTTTCCAAACCTTGTAGTTTCATCTTTTCTATAGCCTACATGACCATGAGCTTTCCTAGTGAACTGGAGCTGGTCAGTGATTGCATCCTTCAAGCACCTGAAGTGTTTAAACATGGCTTTTAAAGCCAAATTCACAAACGGAGCTGCATTGCCAAGCCCAGCAACAGATTCAAATGATGCTACAACTGCCTGCATCTGTTGGCAATAATGCTTGCACCTTTTGTAGACCTGATGAGAATGATGAGAAAGTGGTCAACAAATTATTGCAGATGCCAAAATTCACCAGCGGGACTGATATATCATACTTTACTAAATAACTGCAGTTAGAAAACTAGTTAATGCGCTAATCAATGGTAACTTGGCAAATTCTTTTAATAAATAACTATTAAACTGCCATATGTTGAAAAGTTTGATCCATTAAATCAATGAAATACCATAATATTATCGATATACTACACACTTTTCACAATATCAACCCTTTTCCTTTATTGCTCTACAGAAACATCTACCATCTTAATTTGATTAGAATAAAAATAATTTTAGCTTTACTTTACACGCATAAACAAATTTCTATCAGAATTTGAAGATCGATAATGCTTAGTGCATCATCAACAGTCCTAAAAAGTAAAAGCATCACAACACTAAGAATATCAAGTTAAGATTAAACATTAGTTGGTTATTTTATCAATGAATCTCGCTCTGTGCCTTAAACAAATGAGTAAAAGATGCTTTCATGCTTGAATATAAAACCAAACAAATTATTTTGATGCCAAGATTTTATTAGCGGGAAAGATTTTAGGACATTCTAACAAGGAAGTCTTCAGATGACAAAGGTGATTACTAACATTATTTACAAGTGCTTAGTGCTTACTGTGACATGCCCAGTGAAACCTTTCATTCTATAATCCACACAATAAGCCTTCCTACTGTAAGTATCATGCACACAGCCTTTTTCCATGTAGACGCTATGGAGGCAGCAATGACATCGACCTTCTGTGTCATACTAGGGTCAAGGGGGGCTTCGATACCTCAATATAGCAAGTGATTGCCTTGCCATTTCCACCTCGTGAGTCATTACTTAGCAATTGACTCCCTATCTCGACCTTGCAAGTGATTACCTTGCAGTCCCCCAAGACTGCACCGGTCTGATCTGCAGTTCACCTTCTATACAAATTTTTACTTACCAAAAAATAGGCAAAATTATCTTCTCTCAAATGTTAAACTTCATTAACTCACTAAATCCCAATTCACTCCTCTGTAAAGGCAAAATGCAAATAAAATAGGGGCAGACTAAGCATACATTCCATGCGTACTTTTATGGAGTATAAATCTTTTCAAATGCATTCCTTCAATCACTTTATGCACATTACACCCCCCAGATTACTGACAGACTCACCCACTAGAACTTTTTCCAATGTTGTCAGACACTTTATGGCACCAATCTCTGTGCATATATTCCCTCCTATAACCTTTTTCTCCAAAAGATGATATCTAACACCATACACTCCAAAAACAAAAGCATCTAGTTCACATAGAATACAATTAAGCAAACAATAAATTACAAAGAATTTATCAATCACAAATCACTAAAGTTGGATTGCATTTCTTTTGCCACTCCTTCATGCAACACCACACACTGCATGCTGGAACTAGCAATGAGCCAATGACAAAACCAACACTGGATAAACAATGCTACTCAGTTAATTATATTTTTTTCCCAACTTATTTAATTATATTGGTCACTTGGCTCTAAGGAATCAATAAAGGAGGGAATGCCAAATCACATCAAAGCATTATAATCAAAACAAATATAAGATACTTACACATAGTTTAAGACCCAATGATAAGAAACTCGAGTTTCGAAAAATTAAAAACAAGTAAAAAACTATACCTAAAATTAATACAGTATGAGTGCGAGTGCAGACCCAATATTAATCAGCATCCTATAGCTAAAAAGTAGAACCTAAATTGAACAATTTCATATACAAAAGATCATTTAACTAGAAATGCAAGTGAGAGAACACGCAAGAAGATTGTATAAAGTTAGAGAAGCATTTATACCTCATCCAGCAACGAAATTAGCCTCGATTTCTTCCTCCGGTGCTCGCCCTCATCTTCGAAACTGTGCCAATCATCAGCGATTCCAGTTCCGCTTAAACTTTCCAGTGAAGAATCCACCAAACTCGAGTCCACACTAATCTTTTCTGCGTAAATTCCCCTACCCACATCACAAAAATCCTCTAGCAATTGCTCTGCAGGCTTCAAGAACCTCGAACCCTTCAAAATCGAAGCATAACCAGTAAAGGGACCGAGAGGGACTGAACTCGGTCTCGATATGTCGTTTGAAGACAAACCACCACCACAAATGGTGGCCGGAAAATTATACCCACAACCAGGTGTAAGCTTTTCGTTCAACATTGAAGACTCGTATCTCTGTGGGATCATTTTCAGAGGAAGTTTGCTTTGGTTGGTATGATGTGAAGACAAAGACAGAGACAACCCTTGCCCATTGGTACTAACCGACTCATGAGTCATCAACAAAGCTTCTGGTTTAGACACCACAATTTCACCACCATGAAAGGACTGATCAAGAACTCTAAGGTTTTGAGGGGTGTAGAGAAAAGGGTTGTTGCTCATACTATCTTGAATCGAGTTAGGGTTTATGTGAATAGACGATTGTGGGTCCATATAGAGATGGTGTGAAGTGGAAGCTGATGACGAAGAAGCAACATTGAAGAAATTTCCAACATAACCCATCAAATTCACACCCTCGCCTTTAACAACCCCACAACTACTTGAGCTTGTGGTTTGGTTGGGGAGGCTGGTGCAAGTTAGCAAATCGGATGGATCGTAGAGAGGGGGGTAACCTGTGCACTCTTGGAGGTGTTCTGCGCATCGGGGGTGGTTCTGGACGACCTCTCTGAGTTTCTCTCTCCTGCTCTGTTGTGGGACATGGTAAGGTTCAAATCGCTCCGCCATGACTAAGACTATTCTATATTTAGAGAGAGAGAAAAGTTACGTAGAGAGAGAAAGAAAGTGGAGATGGTGGTTACTAGAGATAGAGAGATGTTTGGCGTTTAGAGAGAGAAAGAGAGAGAACAGTGAAAGTGAAAGTGATGTGGTAGTGATGAAATGAAAGGTTATGATGAACTCCAAACCTGCAAATATGAAATATGACAGGCCTGTGCAGGTTCTAATCAGACCAACAAAGCCAAACACTCTACGTTGAAGAGAGAGTATGTGTGAGATGGGGGTTTACTCCACGCAACTTCACACTCAATTCACTCTCTCTCTCTCACACACTATAACTTCTCTCTCTAGGGTTGAGAGAAACCAGATGACCATCGTAATAATTGAACTAACTGTACTTGTTTCTAGTTTTTGTATGACAAGAATTGGATTTTTGATAATAATAATACTCGTATTTATCTTTCTTTTTCTTTTACTTTTTTTGTCATTATGTATAATACAGTACGATTTTCGTAGAAAACTTTATAAAAATTTGATTTTTATTTTCTTTTACCATAAAATAATTAATTTGTCATATGGAAACGAATGATTTAATTAGAGTAACTATGATTTACAAAGAAATGAATTGATGATTTATATGTTTGTTTGGACAATTAAGTTGTTGATGATCGACTAATTCAATTATCATATATAAGATACTTTTTTTAACTGAGCGGATGCCAATGTTTGTGTGTTGCACTTATAATTAGAAGTGAAGTCTCGGACTAATTTTCCTCCTATTATTATAATTTTAAAGTGCTAATTTCATGTTTTAAATGTAAATGTCAATTATTAAATTTTTTTTTTTTTTTTTTTCATAGGTTCAAAGGCCAAGCTAAAGCGACAATACATAGGCATCAAGTCAAGTAAAAAAAAGGTATATAAATCTTGAAGCAAAGTAAATAAAATGAAGAACAAACTTTAGATTTGTGGAGGAAACAGTGTCCAAAATTCTGCAAACGGAATCATCATGAAAGAACGTAGCAAATAGGAGAAACTCAAAGGTCTAGCTATCGTCACGGTAATCGCTCCAAAATTACAGCCACAAGGCGCTCCAACACACACCCCTCACAAGATCAAATCAAAGAGAAAAAGATCCAATCTAAACGAAAAAACCCAATATCGACCCATATCAAAAATCTAATCGGAGAAAAATAACAGATTCACCCATGCGAGTTAAAAATGAACCAAATATGAGCAAAACTAGCCAAACAAAATAAAAAACGGGATAAAAAAAAATCCACAAAACATACTTATTGAAACATTGTAATCGTGAGAGGCAGCTAGCACCTCGCTACTCTGATGAAAGGGAGCAGCAGAAGGAATAAGACGACGCTGGGTTAGAGAGAGAAAGTTAGAGAGAGAGGGGGACCGTTTTCCGACGGCTGGGCTTTGTTCCAAAAGGTGATACACTATTATAAATGTCTATTAATTTGGTTGAACTATAAATGTCAGACTCTATGTAAAGATGTTAAGAGATGAATAATTGGAAATAGAAATAATCTGACATATTTTATGTTGTGCAAAGGAAAGGACAATACTTAGTTCTGATAGGCGGTACTAAATCAGATAATATGGGAAGAGAATCAGTGTATATATAAAGGGTTGAGATGATTCCAAGTGAATTCTAAGTTTTATAAATAGTGTGACTTCTAATTTAGAAATTAAATAATATGAAAAAATTAAAGGATCTGTGTATATATAAAAGGTATAGATGATTCCATGTGAATTGTGATTTTTATAAATAGTGTGAATTCTAATTTAGATGGAGTGATCTTGTAACAACTTTTAAGGGTGGCAAAATTTGATACGACTCGTCAACACGATTTGAACACGACATGAGTTAAACAAATTTGGATTGACAGTTCGGGTCATAAACAGGTTGACACACTTAACCCATTTAGTTAATCGTATCGTATTTGTGTCGAAGGGTTCAACCTATGTAACTTGTTTATAACCAATTAACTATACGTGTCATAAACAAATTTATATTTAAGTTTCAAAATAACTATCTTTATCTTATAATTTATTCTTTTGTAAATTAGAAATTATTTAGTAATTTGGTTGAATTAAAACTTATATTTTTCTAGTATTTAATATTTGATCGAGTATTATTAATAATTTAAATAATAAAATATTTGATTTTATTAAACGGATCATTAAACAGGTTATACGTATAACCCGTTTAATAAATAGGTCGGGTTAGTGTTAAGAGTTCGTGATACGATTATTAAACGGGTCGTGTTTGGGTTGAGTTGTTTAGTAGAATACCCTTAAATCGACACAACACGACATGATTACGACCCGCGAACACAAATTGACACCCCTAACAACTCCCACCATAGTAAGATAGGATATTGTTTGCTTTTGCCTTTTCCATTCAGAGACATGAGTTCACTTATCTTGGTACTAATTCAGGTTAAGAACACCCCATCCACACCAAGGCGATGTAAGATTCAAGCAACACTTGTCCCATCCACAGAATGCTTGTAGCTCGCCAAACATGGTAGCTTACTGGTATCACCTATACACACCCGTCCACAAAGTGAACATAATCACCCCCTTTTGGGGCCCAACGTCTCCGTTGGCCACATTTTCGATTGAGTCAGGTTCTGATACCATTTGTAGCAACTCCCACCCTAATCAGATACAATATTGAGAGAAACATATCGTGGTACTACTTTAGGTTAAACATGCTTAACTCTGGGGTTTTGTGGATTCACGGATTTAAAACCCGTTATATTATAGAATGTGTTGAATCTATATATAACACTTGCTCTATCCTCACCCAAACAATGTGAGATTATACACCTGTACCTCGCCTCGGTGTGGTAGCTTACTGATACTACTTAATACTACTTATACACACTCACACACACCCGTTCACAAGATCGCCACAAATTTTAACCCTTTCTTGTGCACAAGAGAGGATTCAAGTTCATTAGATTTAGTGAGCCCAAATTCTTCGCACAGTCGATTGTGATTTATATGTCACGAATTTCCATTCCATGCAAAACGTTTGGCATTTTTTAATACAAAATGGATGGAAGGAGAAGAACGAGACGAATAGAAGAGAGTCGGCTTGCTTCCATGATTTATAACGTATCTAAGAACTCTGAAAATAGGAGATAATTTTAAAAATTTACAAGAAAAAAATGTCCTTGGTTTTTTCATATGGTTTACAATTACATGGCACTTGTCATATCTTTATCTTTTATTTATTCTTAACTACTTTAATTTCTAATTCAATAGCCTTGAATCTCGTAATGTTAGTTTCTAATTGAGTTGTCTATAATCATTTAACTTAGTTTAAGTAATTGTAATTTGTCATATCTCATGTATTGCTAATGGAACTAGCCTTTGAATTCTTAGTTTAAGAACAAGAGACAGGAAAAATGACAACACGATTTTTCACATGAGAAGAAAAATCACAGAAGCTATGTGGCCTCCTACAAACTAATTCACTAAATCAAGAAAGAGTAAAAAGAAAATCAATTTTTATAGAAAGAAAAAGAGGAAATTTTCCTCTAAAAAACTTTCAATTGATTCTCTACACAATCTCAGATATTTTTCATGAAAAACGCTGTTTGGGTATCACAAAAAGTCTTTGCTTATGAATTGAAAAAGTCTCCTCAAACATTAGATAACGTTACATCAAACTATATTTCCTCAATGTGAATGTCTTTTAATATGTGAAAATTATTAAATTAGTCTCATATTTCACCAAAATGAGTACTTTTGGGCGTCCCTTTTTTTTGACACGTTTTTCACTAACTGATTTAGACAAATTATTTTGCAGTAAAAAAAAGGCGCTACTTTATATTCACCGGGAAAAAAAGGAAGGGTACAGTACTCCTTTATTCATAGCTTTAAACTAGCATGGATACATTATTTTAGATGTGCCATGCTAAGTGTAGCAATTTTTACAGTATTTTTTTTTTTTTTCAACACTCCGTGGTTATAAAAAGGAGATGATCTAGATGCATTGATTATTGAATTTATATATTAATTTCTTATAATTATCTCATCAAATATATATATATATATATATATATTTTACTAATGTGTAACCACAGAAGTCTCTACCTTATAATCACTATTAACGTGTAATCACTATCTTATAATCACGAGAGTCTCGTACAAATAACTGTAAAATTATGAATATTTTATAATCACTTAAGTCTCGTATAGTCATTCTAATCAAGAAAAACTTGACCCAAAACTGAGGCCTGTTCGGTGTCATATCTGAAATATAAAATTTAATAAAAGTAAAAAATTATTCAAAAAATAAATACATGGAAATAGAAGCAGGGGTTTTCCATAAAATCTTTTGACTGGCTTTCTCAATGATAGAGCAGATTAAACGCTTACAAGAGAATATTGTATATTTTCATGAAGCTTAAATTGCTGATTTGATTCTTCTTTCCCGATCAATCTCATACACATACATACATATATGATTGTGTATTAGTTTGCTTTCACTGTCCTCAATTTCTGAAGAGTAAAAGTTAATTTTTCTGATAAAATGGGCCCCCAACTCCAACCCCTACCCCAATCCTTTTCCCTGTGCACATTCAACTTTGAGATCTACTGTTTGGGCAGCACTGAACGAATCAATCCCACTTTTGTAGAAACGAAACAACGTACCTACTTTACTGCCCTTTGGCTTCCGCTTCTTAATTCACTTCTTCATCATCAACTCATTATTTATTATTTCTATAATTGCGTCTTAACTAAGCTGATATTAAACTCTTTTCCTCCACCCTTCTTTGTAAAGGGTATTTTTTTTATTTTTCAAAATAAAGCTTTAAAGGTTAAGTGTCGCAAATAAAAAAAAGGGTACAAACAATTTCAAATCCAAAGTATTTATTCGGTACTCCCCAGTCCCAATGATAACAATACCCATTTATTCTAAACGTAGAACATGTGCTGCATATAAATAAAGTGTTCATACTTCATACCTAAAATGGAAGTGACTCCTTAGAAGTTCAAGTCGGGTTGAAATCCCCCAAAGAGAGGACAAATGGGTAGGCGAACTTGGAAAACCCAATAAAAAATAAATGAAAGATGGGCCGAGCCCAGATTACAACCTACAGTCAAAGGGAGGGTAACCTACTTAAGTCAGTCAGAAAACAAATTGCGAGCAAGGCTTATGAAGGCCCTGATGCAGGCCCACCATTCATGGAGTAATGTGGACCTAACCATATAAGTAAAAGCCCAATTACATTTGGCCCAAAGTCACATTATTGAGTGGTGGTCTTTTGTGTTTGGGGTGTTTGACCGCATTACCATAATTGATTCCTACTAATCTTCCATTAATTCCAAATTTGTGCATTCTAAAGAAGAAAGGTGCTCTATGAGAATGAAACCAACTACCACTAAATTACAAAGTTTACCTCCAAAATGCATTCCAATGAGGACAACCACTTCGCACTCTTCCCTTATAAATACCCAAGTGGCAACTTCACTAAACTCAGGCAACACCACAAAAATAGAAAAAAAAAAAAAAAAGGAAGAAACCCCATAGTGAGACAGCTTCCAAAAACATGGCCAACTCACTTGCCCTTCTTGCCACCTTTGCCCTACTCTTCATCACCGCCATCCAAGCAGCTGACCCCGAGTTGATCTCCGACTTTGCTGTACCAGAAGGTGCCGATGAGGGCAAAGTTGACGGAGTATTTTTCACCTACACCGGCTTAAGAGGCGGTGCACCCTCTTCCACGACAGGCCTAGGCCGCAAGTCTGTGTCCATCAAGGAATTCCCAGCTCTTAATGGACAAGGTGTCTCATTGGAACTCCTTGAATTTGCACCGGGCTCGGTCAACGTACCCCACACCCACCCACGAGGGGGCGAGGTATTGTTCGTGGTGGAGGGGGCGTTGACGGTGGGCACAGTGGATGGGAATGGGAAGTTGTACAAGAATGTGGTGCAAAAGGGTGACGTGTTTGTGTTCCCCAAGGGGTTGCCTCACTACCAAGCTAATTTCGACAAGAACAACAAGGCTGTGGTTGTTTCCGCATTTGGAAGCTCTAATGCTGGGAATGTGGCTCTTCCTAAGAACTTGTTTGGTTCTAACATTCCCGATGAAGTTCTTGGCAAGGCCTTTAAGATTTCACCTGATACCATTCAACAACTCAGGAATGCCCAAAACTAGTTATACGGACAACAGTGTGCCTGAGACTTCCGTCACGTAACGCAGACTTGACTAAGTGAAATAAGGCTGGTCTAAGCTTTGCTTTGTTTGTTTTTTTCGGTTGTTGATGTTGGTAGTTAACTAGTTATGAAAAGTAAGAGAACCTTATAAAAGTAAAGGTTTTCTTTGTAATGAATGAATAAATAATGAAAATGCTTGTCTTGTGACATGTTGTCTAATGTGCAGGACGGTTTAATATAATTTGAGGTCTTAGACGAAAAATATAAAAGTGGCATTTTAATATCTAGTATATATAGTTAATCCAATTAATCTTTCTTGTTATATAATTGATCTTATCATCTTAGAGGTATACGACTTATATTTAATGAAAAAATGAGAAAAAATATGTTAGAAATACGAAAGAAAGACAAAAAAAAAGAAGATAAAAGTTAAAATAAGAATATGAAAAGTTTTACAAATTCTTGAAAAAAAAAGAAAAAAAAAAGGGTAAGATAAAGATAGAAATATTTTGTCATCTATTAAATTTCTATTGGATAGACTCTAATAATCGATAAAAATAAAAAAAAAAATTGAGATTATAATATAAAGGAAAAAAAAAAACTGAGGCCTTTCTATTGCGTAGAGTTTAATAATAAAAAAAGAAATAACATTTTTAGGAAGGTTATAATATAAAAAAATAAAAAAAAAATTAAAAGTTAAAATATAAGAAAATACAAATTTTGGGACCTTTATATTGACTGGAGTGATGACAAAAAGGAAATAAAAATTTTAAGAAGGATAAAAAAAAAAAAATTTAGAACCTTCTTATTGATTGAGACCTTAAGCAAGCGCTTAAGCCGCCTAAACATCCAGCCGCCCCCCGCCCCTGCTAATGTGTTCTATTGTACTTTGTTCCGATCCTTAGAATTGCAACAATACCACAGAGTAGCGATGATATATACCGAGTCTGATTCATACCAAGCGGAACACTCACAAGGACTTTGTGAGGCCCGCCAAATTTAGTTGCAAAAGTTAGACTTGACCTATCCATGATTCTCTGATCAATATATATGATATGATATAACTTCCAAATATGTGTGTGTATATATATATATATATATATTTCTTTGTAACAAAATTAAAAGTGTCAATTACAATGATACTTAATGAAAAATAATATGTTGTCCAATTTTTTATTCGAAATACCAAAACATTGTTTTTAGAAAAAAAAAAAAAAAAGAAAAAGAAAAAGAAAATTCTATGAGTTGTATTTTTATTTTTGAAAGAGTAATAAATACTAACAATTTTTCTTATTGATAAATATTTTTAGATTAATTAATTTACTATTTTGTTTTCAATTAATGAATATCTATTCTACTCTTAAACAATTAAATTATTTTTAAAAGAATAATATTTATCTTTTATGTGAAAAAAACCCAGAATTTTTTTTTGGGTATTTTTAGAAAATAGAGTTATTATTTAAATAGAAATTGACAAAAAAAAAAAAAAATCCAATTTATAACAAATATTAATTTGCAGATAACCCCTTACAATTTTTTATTTTATTTTGCAAAATGCCCTTGATGTTAAACCATAAGAAAGTTAATGGTGCATCTCTACTTTCCTATGTTTGCACTTCAATTTAAAACAAAAGGACTCTTCTAACCCTAACTTCATAAGTGAATAATTATTTATTTTCTTAGTCATTTAGTCTCTCCGGCCTCCTTCTTCCATCTTTAATATATTTTTTTTTGTCTCTTCGACATCTCGAACCCAAAAAAAAAAAAAAAAAAAATTATAAAAAAATGATCTGATTTAACAGTACCCATAAAAAAAAAAAAAAAAAAGGAACCGGAAAAGTTCTCTCTTAAATAAATTATTATTTTGACGGGACTCAAAAATAAAAAGAGTACAAAAACAACAAAGAACCCAAAAAAAAAAAAAAGGAAAAATTATCTCAATCGAATAAATTTTCTTTTTGCCATAATAAAAAAACACTTTTCTCTTTTGACTAACTTTTAAAATACATATATATATATATATAATACACACAAAAGCAAACCCGAAAAAAGTGTTATTATCTTTTTTGTCAAGGCCCCAAAAATAAGTTTTATGTGTTTAGTAAATTATCTCTTTTAACAAATCCTAAAAAGAAAAAACAAAATTACTAAAGAGAGTAAATATTAAAAAAATGTTAAAGTTTATAATATAAAGAATAATTATGATATTTTAAAATAAGGGGGATCATTAATGAGTTAAGAGATTTTTTTGTAATTTTATTTTAAGGAAAAATGCAAGTGGAGTGCAAGTAGAAATGTTGGGGTGCGTATACCTAGGATAAATTATGATAAAAATAACTTCATGTGGCGATTTCACCCTGCATCCGTTTAAAGTAATATATATTCTTCTATATTTCTCTCCGTAATCTCTGGCTGGGGTTTGGGTTTCGTTACTAGAAGTGAAAGACAAGGTTAGTATTTCTCTAATTTTCTTCTTTTAACAGTAGGGTTTTAAAATGTTAATGATGATTATGCTGCATGAAGTGTATCAATTTGTGAGTTCTCTGTAATTCCTTGATCTATTGGGTTTTAATTAGCCTTTCAGTCAAATGTCACCAAATAAATTTAATAATAAAAATCTAAGACCCGTAATTATAAAATTCTTGTTATTCATCCCACTGAGTTGGTTTGAACTTCAATTGACCATTGATTCTCATCACCATCCTGAGGATAAATAGTTCTGATTTTACTTTGTTTTTCTGTGAAGAATAGGATTTTGTTTAGTTAAGTATTTGGTTTTCCTTTATTTTCAAATCCCTTTGGAATTCGTTTTTGTTTGTTTCTTTGTTTTTGTGTTACTTGGGTCTCGGGAATTTTTATGTGTCCGGTGTTGAATTATGGGGGTGTTCTGGGAGAAGAAAAGGAAAAAAGAAAAATTATGTCATCACTTTCTGTACTTGCAAATTTTCATTTAGGACATATAGTTATATTCACACATACATGAATAGTATTGGGCATGTCATTTGGTTTAGTTGCGCATTGATCAATCATAAAAAGGCATCCTATGGAGCATGTGAATGACAATTTAAATTCTCCAGAAAAGCGTTGAGAATTCCATGCCAATGACAACAAAGCTTACAATCACAAACGTCTGCAAAAACAACCTTCAATTTATTAAACTTTGAGGAGTAACAAACTCTAAGTACACAATTTTGATCAAACGTTTCTGACGTATAATTAATCATTCAACTATCATCACTTTGATAGTTAAATGATTAATTTATCCAAATCGCAGTTGTTTGAACATCAAAATTTACTTTCTCCTCCTAAACAAAGTGGCAATGGGAAAAACCTAAACTCCACAAGAATTTCCGCATAACATGGCATGTCAACAAAAAAGAAACTTTCATTATTACATTGTAATCTAATTCACTTCTGACGTATGTTCGTAGTTCTGTAGGTTAGAACTCATTAGCTCACAATAATACTTCAGTAAAAAATAAAAAACCCTAATTTTGGGCCATTGGATGTCATTCTATTTTGAAAGGTATAATTAATCTAGAATAAGATCATAATGGTATTTTTGTGAATGTATTATAATACTGTATTCATTTGCTAAAGAACTATAAAACACTCTGTTTATAGGAATTCATGTTCAAATATCCTTCAATCCATTGAAGTGTATAAACAATTGATCACAGGTTTATAATTGAAACATTGGCAAATACACAGAACATGCACGCCTGCACACACATATGTATAAATTCAAGCATCATTATATGTGCAACAATACTATAAACTTCATTAATTATTGGATTACAGACATTAAACTGGAGCAGCATTGACATGCCATCTTAATGACAGAAAGACTATAATGTATCAAGCCATTGTCCCTACATTATCACCTTCGTAGCAGTCAGAATGAGCAACAACTGCCCTTCTCTGCACATTTTTGTAAGGGCATCGCCGAGCCAAGAACACATAGAAGCACAAGTTCACTGCAGTAATGCCAGCTAAAAGCCAGTAGAAATTATCCAACCGACTACTATTCAAATCCTTACCAAACCAGCTTCTCCCATGCTTTTCTGTTACGTGATCCACAATTGTTATCAAGAGACTACTAAGGAAGTTTGCAGCCCCCAGCACACTAAGGTAAAACGCTATACCCAAGCTTCTCATTGAATCCGGGACTTGGTCATAGAAGTACTCTTGCAGCCCCACTAGAGCAAATCCATCTCCTACACCAATGATGATAAATTGTGGAGCTAACCAGAACACACTCATTGACATTGAACCCTTCACTGGATCCTCCTTCACAAGAGCTAGTCTCTTTCTTTCAACCAAGGCCGCGACAACCATAGTTGCAACTGAGAAAATCATCCCAATACCAATCCTTTGGAGAATGTTGATGCCTCTTTCATTCTTTGTCATCCTTCTTAGTACAGGTACGAGAATCTTGTCATAAACAGTGACAGAAACTATCATTGCAATGGCAGCCAGAGAGTAGATGGAGGCCGGAGGGATCAGGAAACTGTGAGTGATCTTGCGGTCCAGAGTAGTACCTTGTTTGATGAAGAATGTTGAGGCTTGTGCTACACAAATTCCAAACGGCAATGTTGCTACCCATATGGGAATCATGTTGAGAAGAAGCTTCATTTCCTCAACCCTGGTAACAGTTGCAAGTCTCCATGCATTTTGTTGCTTCTCACCCGAAATTTGATCCTCTTCAAGGACTGCAGCCTTGTCAAGAAATCTAAAACACATGAAGATGCAACACATTAAAACTTTTGAAACTCCAGTCTCTATAACATCATAGTAGGTTTGTCCAAGAACAAAAATCAAAGTGATAGATATACTATAGCGATAAAATGGGAAAATGAGAGTTCACTAGCTTACTTGAGCTTGTCGGTGTGGCATAGAAGCCTTCCCCGAGTCTTCTCTGACTTGGGAACTTCATATAATTCAGCAGGATAGGAAGGATGAGGAAGATTTCTTTTCCTAATGGCTGCTACAAGAACTTGTAGCATTGGGGTTAAGGGACTCCCTGTGGGCATCCTATAGCGATAAAATGGCCTTCCAATTAAGACGATCACTATACTAAAAGCCATTACAGCAGTGAGGATAATGTCTGCAACACCCCAGCTCACATGGTCTTGCACATAAACAATCAGAGTTACACCAAGTAGTAGTCCAGAGCAAAGGCCAAAGTTCCACCAGTTGAAAAATGACATCTTCTTTCTTCTTTCTTCAGAATGATCATCATCGAACTGGT